GGGGGGGGGCAGTAAAGAGAACACAGCTGGTCTGAATGGTTTCTGTTTGTTTAGAAATGTATTTTATTATTTAACTGTTTAAATGCTATGACAGCAGGAACCCAACAGTACCACAGCAGGAACCCAACAGTACCACAACATGAACCCAACAGTACCACAGCAGGAACCCAACAGTACCACAACATGAACCCAACAGTACCACAGCAGGAACCCAACAGTACCACAACATGAACCCAACAGTACCACAGCAGGAACCCAACAGTACCACAACATGAACCCAACAGTACCACAGCAGGAACCCAACAGTACCACAACATGAACCCAACAGTACCACAGCAGGAACCCAACAGTACCACAACATGAACCCAACAGTACCACAGCAGGAACCCAACAGTACCCAAAGTAGATGTATTTGAGAGTACACCCACAGAGTCAGTACACAGTATCTGTCAGTACTCTGGTGTGTATCTGGACTTGAACACATCTCAGCCACCGTCCTGTCGTCCTCAGCAGGTCCAGGTCCAGGTCCAGGTCCAGGTCCAGGTCCAGGTCCAGGTCCAGGTCCAGGTCAGAGGATGGGTCGATGCCCACCTGGGCTACATCTGTCGGCTCTAATCCTGATTGAAGCTGACTCCAGGTCAGTACAGAGGTCATCCAGGATTTAGTGTCGTCACCCGGGACACTACCAGAAATCACCCCCCCCGCCCCACACACACACACACACACACACACACACACACACACACTGTGTACGTTTTCACCAGCAGGTGTAGAAGTCACGTGGGCAGCGACCCACTTCAGTGACGTCATGTTTTCACTTTTCTCCTTTTCAAGTCGCTGAAGACAATGCAGCAAATACTGTATAAAACCCACAGCGTGACGTCACGACTCTCCTCGTATATCTACAGACATATATGTGACGACACGTGAGGTCGGTGACGTTTCCACGTCAACAGCCACGAGGCTGCGTCAGAGAAACCGTCAGAACATTCCCACACACAAGGAAATCTTTCCAAAAAACTTCCAAAAAAAACACAACCAGACTCAGTAAAAATGAAAACGTAAAAACTCACCGGAAACAGCAAAGAGTTGAACGTCTTCAGGTTTGGATTTAAAGTCTTGGTTTTCTTCAATCCAGGCTGAAAAGTTCCAGTTCCTGCGGTCACTCCGTGACTTTTCCTCCGCTGCTCAGGAGCTGCACGCTGTGAGTCTGTGTTTGCGGAAAGCGCTGTTCGAACCAGCCAATAAGAGCACTCCTCCCCCTGCTGGGGGCGTGTCCTCCATTCAACCCGAGAAACAGAATCAGAACATCTGAAACTTCAGTGTCCCGAAATCTGTGTACACACTGTATATGTACATCTGTGTACATCTGTGTACATCCGTGTACATCTGTGTACATCTGTGTACATGGATGCTGTTTTTTTACTTTGTTTCTATTACTACTGTAGAAACACACACACAATGCATCCCACAGACCAGGACCACAGACCAGGACCACAGACTGTGTGTCAGTAGCACAGACCACAGCGTCAGGACAGGAAAGACCAGTCTCTCTTCACGTCCATCCTCTGTGAGGGGGGGGGGCAGGTGTGTGTTGGGTTTCAGCCTCACCCATGGAACAAAACCCTGACTGGTCCTACCACAAACTCTGGTACAAAGAAGTATTAGCCCCCCCCCCCCCCCCCCCCC